AAAACTTTGAATCAATCTGACTGGATTATCTGGTGAACTGGAAAGTTCCTTGAGATGACGTGTTGTGAATTGGCGCTATAGAAATAAACGGAATTAAATTAACCTGGCCTTCGACGGGTCTACTTGGACCTCCATCCGTTAGAGAAAACACGTTACCGTTTACGGGTCAGAACCGTGACCACATCCAGACTCACCCAGGTTCTGTGAACTCCAGCTCCTCAACAAAAGCCCGAGGGCAGCGCAGCCGGCGGACGCCAGTCTTTAGAACCCGCTGTAGAGCCGGGCCCGTGTGGGTCAGACCCTCCAGGTCCACGCTGTGCCACAAAGACTCGTCAAACCTGAGACAGAGACACCAACCGGTTTTACTTCCTGGACTAAAAGATGGAGAAAGATCCGTTAGGACCTGCAAGCCCTGCTGGTTCTGTGTACTTTTATACGACTCAAATCTAAACTTATAACCAGTCATCTGGTAAAATACGAGCCTTAGTTTCCTGATTAGACCCAAACGCTGTAGTCCTGGTTTTGTCGATCATCACAGAACCTTTGAAAGGAGATCAGCTCAGGTTTAAAGACTTACGCCAGTCGGTTCCAGCGCTTACACACTGCAGAGACTCGGAGGAGGTCCTGCAGCGGGAGGCAGAAGTAGATCCTGAGGAGCAGCTCGTCTGGAAGATGATCCCAGGAAACACCTGCAGAGAGAAGAACCTGCATCATGACACAGAAACATCTGGAACCAGCTCCGGTTCTGATCCAGGTAAACCTCTGGATCCAAGCAGGAGGAGCTTCTCCCCACCTGATGAGGACTGCTTCCTCCTCCTGGACCTCCGGGCCAGAACAAAGTCGTTCTCCTTCCCCCTGGAGAGCAGCCGGGGATGCTTGGGTCTGGGGGAGCGCTGCAGGAGCAGCTCTGTGGGGGTGGACTCGGAGCCCAGGCCCCCAGAGAGCCAGCTCTTCCTCTTGCTCCTGGGGGGGTTCTGGACGTTCAGGCAGGGCAGCTCCTGCAGCGGACAGCTGGGTGGGTGCAAGCAGCTCAGATTAGTTTCACAAACTTAAAATAATCTCCCTGAGATTACCGTGTGGATCAGATCAGCTTTAATCCCAGCATTTCTGCAGGAAGCTGCTCTGTCCGCCATATTGATGCTGATAACAAGGAGGAAACCGCGCGAATTAGCGCAACAAAACCTCCCAGAAAGACTGAAACACGCTTCGACACAAACAGAAGGAGGTTTCTACTGGTTTTACGTGGTCAGATTATCCTGAAATAAAACGAAGAGGAGCAGATAAAACCGATGACTCACAGAGTCAACATTCAACATTTCAGCAGCCAGATTAAAACTACACACAGGATCGGAAAATAATCCATGAAAACCAGCCAGTTTAACTCCCTTCCTCCCGCCAGAGGAGTTTATGTAATCTGGTTAATCTAACCAGGGTTAGTCTGAGCTGTTCCCTCCAGATTAAACTGTCCCACCGATGCAGACAAAAGGGGAAATAAAAGCTTCCGGTTTCCCACCTGGCCTCGGACATCCCGGTTTTCCAGATTATTCTCTGTTTTTCTGTCGTTCAATCTGCGGTTTTACCCCGAACTTTGTCTCCGCGCTCCAAACTCTGACTCTTTAAACCTGCCGCCACCATACACGCGCCCTGTTTTCATGACGTAAGATGACCCGTCGTCACAACAGGACGTGGCCTCAGTGATGACGTATACCGCCACCTATCGAGCAGGAGGATGTATGATGGGATTATATCAGCGCTTTCTTTCTCTGGTTCCAGATCCTCCATCCATCCATCCATCCTTTCATCCTTTCATCCATCCATCCATCCATCCTTTCATCCTTTCATCCTTTCA